TGAATGCACACAGCACAGCAAGAAAGTTTTTTATTTCTTTTATAAAATACAAATTACAATAATAGATAGAAATGACGCAAGGGAAAGTGCGCGCGCGTTCAATGTGCTCTCATAAAGCACGCGCTCCAAACCAATCAGAACACGACATTCATAACAGCTATTTTATAAGACGCATTTGTAATTCATTGATAGTCGATATTGTAATCAGGTGAGATTACTAACGCACACAGAACTGTTTAGGTTTAGTTCTTTCCTGCACGCAGCTGTTTAGACCACCCTTTAGCCCTCCTTAATTGGCAAATGTTTATGTTAAATTAGTTCATCACAGGAAGTTCTGTTTGGGTTATGTCTCACTTGAATAAGRCTTAAAAACTTTCGCACTAAGAATTGGGAAAAAAAGACCAGTGTGTGTAGTAGAGCAGAAGAAGAACACAATTAAAGTTCTTGGAAGGTTCGACCCTGCCTCGGAGATCCTGTGTACTAACAGTACATATAGGTTCAGTTCATAATTCTGTCTGTCGAGCTTCGTGAAGAAAGTCTATCGAGTGCAAGTTGTGCGGCAAGATAGGCCTAAAAACTGATCATACGAATAATGTAAGGTCAACAAGCTTTAACAGAAATGCTGAAAGAAGCGGTTCTTTAATCGTTGTCTACTTTAGTTTGCCGAACGCCGTTCAGACAATCACATAAACGTTAAAATAAAACTAGTATACGTTTGCGAGAGAGCCCTTGAAGTATTACATAAGAATATAGAAGCATCTTGTAGAAACAGATGCAAATGAATTCTGAATCTCGCATGACCGAGTACGCCCAATTGGAAATATGTCCGGGTTAATAAAATGTAACGAAATTACGCGGGAAAACGCTAACTTCTCACTGCGACCCTCCCTGGATTTATATCTGACACGAAGTGAATTTAGGCGTGATTAAATCAAATCTGACACGGGATAACTGGCACTAGCTATATTAGGTAATAATGAACCAGCAGATACCAAGTACAAGACTTCTTGTGAGAATTTATAGGCACATATAAACTATCCGTAGCAGAGCTCGTGTATATCACTAGAATGAATATCTTCAATAACAAAGAATAATCAATCAGTCATAGCTCCCACATGTTTTGATTGATGTTGTAGTCTTATGGTTGTGTGTTATGCGCCTACCCAGTACTGGAAGAAGAAACTCGTCACCTAATGGACATTGGACAGCGTAGGTGTATTGCCGCTGCATAATCGTTAAAATACGTTTTCTATTTCTATTTCATTTCATGAATATCAAATATAAGACCTTCTATTGAGAAAGAAAATGAAATACTGAAAAAACGATCGACATTATTCAATGAAAACATCGCTTGATACTTTGTTGCGACTCAAAGACTAAATATAGAGATCTGGAGACAAATCGATGCTTTAAAGTTCTCGTATGATCACAATATTGTGTTTACTAGCACTCTTTTCAGAACCCAGCTATCAGAATGAATGCTAACAAGCAGTGCCTAGTGTATATAACGTTGTTTTCTTTATTCCAGATTTTCAATTAGTCGAAAAACGTTCCAATGACTGTAAATTAAATAGGGATTGTCCTCACGGATACGCGTGCTATCCTAGTAAGTATATATCACAGTGTTCTTTTAATTGATAAAGTAAATCAAATCAGTTTTAATGACCACATCTTTCTTTATTCGTATACTTGTAATTATGCGTATACGGTAAAACCTATTTCATCTGCATGCATACACTATATTCTTCAAACGTTCCGGCTATCGTACTGATAGCTGGATGTTTATTGATAGAAATTTGAAAACTAATAGTCTTCCTTATTAATTCAGTGAGCAATTAACATAATGATGAAATCAGTTAATTAACGGCATACGGTTTTGTTCAACAGGCATAAACCCACACAGATGTTATACTTATATCGTTACCCTTAAGACAAACAAGTAGGCTTGAATCTATAACGAGAACTGGAAATCCAAGCTGATATCTGCAAGGAAAAATCTAGCAATTCTAATTTTGCTATAACTGTAACTTGTAACCTAARAATAAATATACTCTTGCAATAAATTGTTAACGCTTTATGTGAGTGGTTTAATTGGTGTTGATTTACTGCTGTTCGCATGAGTTTAATAGCGTTTTCCACAGATGACGTGACAATAGACCAGTTTCGAGTTCCAAATTACCGCTGTGTTCCTTGATTACAGACTCATTTGCACAGGGTTAACCTCGTATCAGTGTTTAAATATTCACAAATACCAACAGAAAAGTAAAGAATGCACAACTTCAACAATACAAACACTTTGAAACTCGACGGACCTTGACTTGAACACGTGAATATTCTGCACAAACTCGAGGCTAACTCTGTGCAAATGAGTTTGTAATCAAGAAACACAGCGGTAATTTGGAATTCGAAACGGGCCTATTGCGAGCATTTATCACGGGTAGCCCAAGCTCTGTTTTTGTGGGTTTTTTACTAACAGTTTGTAATGTGGGATATTTTTGAAAATACCGAAATAAATGCTACGAGAGCTGCGTGTATTCCAATAATGAATATAGTTTTAACACAATAACAAAAAATACTCCCTCACGTATTGAGGTGCAGGTACTGTACATGTATGAGCCGCTGTTTGTAAATATCGAGAATCGCGGACAGTTTTTTATTTCTTTTTATTTCACCAACAAAACCCCTGGGAAAGGTTCAGAAAATCAGAAAATTCAGAAAATCAAGGTTTTAGGCTAAGGGACAGGTCAAAAATTAGAGGGAGGGCTGATGCATTTTATTTTTGGACTGTATATTTTTTATTGGCCCTTCCTTTTCTTATATATAAAAACATTTGGCCCTCTGCCAAATCCAAAATGCACCTTCATATCTATAGGGGGAGAGGTAATGTTCTTCACTGCGTATTCGCGTATCCAAACATTTAAAGGAATGGTTGTTTAGATTGTTTAATTCTGATTGCTATATGATATATTTTTTATTTCACTTGTCCATTAAGCTGAATAAATTCCGAATTGTAACTCTAGATTGTGCGATTTCCTATACTTATTAAGTGAGAAGATCGATAAATGGGAAAAAATATTTATAAATTGTTTAATTCATTGCTATATCAAATTTTTTTTATTTCACTTGTCCATAATAAGCCATGGATCTGGCAAATTGCCCACTCAGCTGTGCCTCATTGGTGGTTGACCTGTAGTCCATCTGTGAAACTCGACCCTAAATGTCTAATATATTTATTCAGTATCATTACACAGGTGATTATAGAAAATTGTTTGTGCTAATTTTTCCAGAACTGCCGACCATTTCTCAATAATGACCTACAGTTTAATTCTAAGCGCCAGCAGATAGTTTGTTATGATGCATGCTGCAAGTGGACAGTTATTTATGGACTGCTTTCAAAATACGAAATAGATAAAGATTGTAGAAATTAACCGGTGTTTTCTATTTTCTTTTAAATAATCACCTGTGTAATATGATACTAACACAATATTATTTGCTGCTCGAAGACTTGCAGCTCTGTAAATATTCACAAACATTTTTTATTAATATAACTATTGATCAGAATTTTTTTTTTTTTTTTTTTTTTTCCGTGTGTAAAATTACTTTAATTGTAGCATCACCGCACAATTAATGTTAATTAAGGCATGTAAACAAAAATTAAAATCACTGTCTTTAAGATTCTATAGATGTGTAAAACTGCATCATGAGTTTAGCGGTTTTCCAAGGTCGTTCCAAAGACAATGCATGGCCACAATTGTCAAGAATGTGTACTTGAGAGGTCCCCAACTTCTCCTTTATGACATCAACTGATGATACATGGATGATCTTTAAAAATTAAATAAAATTAGAAGAAGATAGTAGTTCTCTCTTTCTATTAGCCTTTTCAAGATTGAGGAAAAACTGGGTTGAGCTGGTATTGTAATGCATTGTGGGACYGTTTTAGGGGACAAAGATTGATGCCATCTTGGAAATCTAATGTACCCTAAAGAGTGCACATGGGATGGTGGGGGGGACTAACATTTGAAGGCAACGGGTGATTGAACACCTAGGTGTAGGAGATGAAGGACAAAACCTATGGTAAAAAGGAATACCATGAATATACTCAGAGTAAAAGAAAGACAAGACTATAGAACCTGACAATGATATGAGAAGATCAAYACACAAGGAAAGGAAACAGGACCACAAAATGAAAGACAGTAGATTGTCAATACAGGGGATGGAACAACAGGAGCCGGTAGACTCCACATTTGAGACTAGAGAACAGGACAAAAGTATGGGGGCAGAATGAGGTCTGACACCAGAAAGAAAAAGTTGAAAAATAACTGAAAGTAACAAGGCCAATTAATGCTTGATGGTAGCTAGAAAAGGGGGAGGTTATRTACTTAACACCATACCTTGTCATGTTCACCCCACAAGACTAAGGTTGGGACAGTAATATCTTCAAGTACATTTTGGAGAAGAAATCGATGGTCTGGATGGGCGAGGTCCTCTAAAACTGAAACAAACCAATGGTGGTACGATAAAACAACTAAAAGCAACTATGTCTTTGTGCTGCTACTAGAAGTATCAATACTGTCCCTTAATGTCATGTTAGTCCACTGCAGGTTACCCTCTTCCAGTATGTTACCTCATACAACTGGGTGGAGGAAGGTAAGAACAAAACACATGTGCACTTCCCTTAAAGCAAAGTCTCCYGTGTCCAGAAAAAATTTAACTGCCAAGAAACACGAACAAGGGAGACTCTGATAGAAGGGAACATGTGCACTGACAAAAACTTGAATACATATCACTCTCAAAATTCAAATCCATCACTTCTTACCATTAGGCCACCAATTCCACAATGAAATCACGAAAAGTTAGTATTCATTTGACATAATATGATATGAGGTTGGGAACTGATTGGTATAGCTGTACATAGCATGTCATTCAAGCCTACCTTTCCTGTAAAAACCATTGAATGGTCTTCGCACATCTGTGAACAACTTTGCTACAAAATACGGAAGATGGATGTATTTATAGACAACCTTTTTCCACATGGTGAGAAAGTCCTCAGGTGTTTCCGGAATCAAGTAATTCTTTTCTCCTTTCTTTAGAACATCTTCAAGGAATTCACTCAAGTGTGGTGCATCTATGCCAGCTGGACACATCATGGTCACAGATAGAAGGTTATTTGAATGCTTGGATGCGTAGACCCCTACGATGTGTCCTCCCATGGATATCCCTGCTAAATGGAACTTTCTTTGGTGAAGCCCAACTGCATGAACAAACTAAAAATAAAAGATTTTTTATATTATGAACTAAGTAAAAATAGTGCCAGGTTTACCAGGTTCACCCTCTGCAAAAATCCACTTCTATTCCAAATTGGAATTCACTGGATTAAGAGCCACTCTGTGGAAATGCCACTGTGTTAAATCCCTTTTTTAAATCATTAAGGTCACATTTAAACAAGTTGAATGTATTTAAGAAGCTAACATTTACCTGATGCAGTCTTATGACTTGTGCAGGAACAGTATGGTCCCCATCATGACGCCGAGTAGTTTTACCATGTCCAGGAAGGTCCACTGCAATGATGTGTATGGTATTGGGAAAGGCATAGGACATGTTGCACCATACATCTTTACTGGCTGAAAATCCATGAATAAGAACAATGGACTGGTTTGTTTCAGAAGGAGTGCCTCTTTCCATGTATGAAAACTGGAAGTCAACCCCTACATTGACAGTTTTAGAGACAAAGCCTGCCCTGTACATACTCCATCTACAATAAAAGGAAAACAGATAAAATCATTAAACATTGAACATTGAACACGTTGAACTTCACATGAGCCAAACCTAATTGGAAAATGGATAACAATGCAGTCTTCTTTGATGTCATTAGGTTTGGCTCATTGACGTTTGACCTGTGCCTTAGTCACTATAAAATAGTACTATTTGTCAGTATCGATTTTAATTTTATTTCATGGTTTTACTGCATGTGCTCTAGTGCACTTGTCTCTCATTTCTGGGATCTCAGGTTTAATTCCCAGACATGTGAATAGAGTTTAGGTCTATCCCTTGATTTGAGAGTTTTTCTCTGGGTCTCTATTTTTTCCTCCCTACATAAAAACCTAGCATGCTAGTTAAAATCCATTTCTATCTCTGAGTCAACCATGCTCTGATTTTCATCAGCCTATAGGCTGTTTCATGGTGTTGATCAAATTTGAAGACTCATGACCACGTCATAGTAAGTATACAGAAATCTTTAACCCAAGACCCCAGAGGTAAGAGGCCAGGCGAGCTTGTAAATATTGTACAGAGGTAAATCCTGTCAGATATGAGCACTTGGTAAAGGAGATTTCGTGACAACAATAAAAGTAATTTAAACAATCATAGAGCAGACAAGGCAGAGGGGTTTGTAAATCAAGTCTTTTTGAAATTTTTACAAAATTAGGATAAGATTTCCAAGAGATAGCTTTTGGGAAATTACTGGCATGCTTAAAACAGAAAAATATTTCTATGTATTAGGAATTTAATATATTTATATTATACAGAGTAAATTCTAAGCTTTGTAAAAGTCTCATATAGTTGCTCATAAAACGCATAAAAACACAACTTTACCTTTGGAGCAACTCCACCAGCAGTGAAGGCCATAAGTAATAACTGATGATGCAAAATACCAATAAGATGATTATGAACATCAGAACTATTCCAAGTATCTGGCAAATCCCCATTGTAGTAAACTTACAGTTTTGCAACTACTGTGTAAGTCTATCTATTTCTGGTTAACTAAACTAAACTTACGATTAGCTAAAGAATCGAGAATTGCAGTCAAAATTTATTTGCTTGAAAAAAAATACGATAAACAAGAGTTTTGTCTCAATAATTAATTGCTTTACGTCTTGGTTATTTGCATATGAAACAGTTCTTCTGCAGACTCTTCTGCAAGAGCTACGGATATGGTATTACTTATGATAAACTTGCTTTGCTCTTATGCAAAGTTAAGTCAATAATCTTATAGGGGATAACAGTTTCAATCGCTATTTCAGAAATATTCTGTAGTACTTCCTAGTCCTGCTGACTGACTATACCGTCCATTCAAATAAAAACAGCAAACCATAAGATTAATAAGTTAGTTTGTTTACAAGCCTTGATTACGTAAGATGATACCAAATTGAACTCAGATCTAAAATATATCCTAGCGTCTTTTTGTTAATTCTAAAGCTATATGAACTAAGACTACTTAATGGCATTTTTCTATATTTTCAAAGGATAAAATGGATGATTTGCGACCCTATCTTCCCTTCAAATCGTTTCTTGGTCAGATGAACAGTTCCGTCCGCCATCTTGAAAATTAACCACAGTCCTTATCGGGCAMGCTTAATGACAAAATTTCTTTCTAGGGGTATATGGAGCATATGAAGTTATTTGTTCAAGCCGAAACCGTAGGCGTAATTTCGCGTTGTGATCGGCTGAAATACTGGAAGACAATGGGGAGACATTTCTCGTGCATACCGGGTACGTACTATAAAGTCAATACCGTACAGTATGTTTCTCACTGATACAAAAAACGCTTTAGTATACTTGAGTTACTTAATTGAGTGTGATAGAAAATCGTATAGAGGTTGAAAGTGAAGTCATAGCGAGATGGAATAAAGGGATCATTGGTCATCGATATATCAAATACTAAAGGGAATCTTGTTCAATTTTCCCGCACGTGATCCCGTATGCTAACCATCTTACACGGAACAGGCTCTAGAACATAGTCCCGCTGGCACTAAGGGGATCAGGTGTCTGACGCACTGGCAAATATCTTAACGGAATATTGTCTTGGTCCTGTCACTACACAGCCACATATAAACACCTTGGACAGAGTGAGTGATGGACGATCAGGTAAGATATACCCCATTACTATCTTAAAACAAGTATGAATAGCAAATGTATTGTTCACTATAGATAATACTGGGCCCTGAGCACTGAAATGGCTTCCTTTGTTTTGGTGGTTCGTCGACGTCATCCAATCACAACCCTACTACTGCAAACAGCTACGCTATTGGGATGATGCCAGAGATCTAGGGCAAAGTTTGGGTACTGTACTGATCTCTCCATATAGAAAATTTCAAATAAACATACCCTCAAAATAACGGATTACAACACTGTAGTTGTCAAATAAATCCATTCCTATGACTAAGTCTATGAAATGTATATGCATATGCTAATAAAATGTTTTTTGACATCCATAAATTAGAGGTTAGGTAAATACTGGTAAGCATTCCATTAAACATTCCATTAAAGACTCAAAGCGTCTCTTTTAGAAAGCTACTGTTTATAGTACGGTTAGTAGGAATTAGTACACACTCCGCCATCCGATCCATTAGCAAGTTGTGGGAACTGTAACGAAATATTGTAAAATGGACAAAGACGAGGCGAGGATTTCAAGTCGATCACCAACTACAAAAGCTACTGAGAAGGTTTGGAAATATTACTACGATATATTAGCTGGGTTTAGCTACAACAGGTTGACATTTTATAGATCAACTGCTGATCTGATATATAAACCCTATCAGTAGTCGGGGCATTTACGGTCACTAAACAGCTTAAATTGCAGTGAAATGCTTCAGCAACTTCTCGTATTTTTAAAGAAGACAAAGTATTTTAGGTTGGAGCAAGAGAAGATTTTCATAGTCTCTTGTTTGGAGGCATGTCATCGTATTACAGAACGAACCCCTGTGTAGGAGATGACAGCTCCTGGTATGTTGGCGCGCTTGGATACAAACGTAGGGTCAACCAGAGGAGCTACATGATCCCAAACTCAGCGGCTTAGCCAAAGCTTAAACCTATTATTTTCTTGTAGAATTATTTTTATCTTATTTTGGCAATTCGATCTAAGCTATCTTATTAAGCGAGGAAGAGTGTCTATGCGGAGAAATACTGTCGTTCGATCTGCCACTACTACGCTATCTATGGTGTCAACTCTGGCTATCGTCTTTACATTTAGGGTATAGAGTTTCATATTAAAATTGCAGCCTTACTTCTTCTTAAACTGTATTTCTTTTTACTTTTTTAATTCTATCCATTTGCTATTATCTTTCACTCGATAAATTTTGAATCAGATGCTAGAAAAAAATAAGAATAAGTAGAAAAAAATAATTAAATTATAATAAATTGCATTTTTTTCGGCATTTTGGTCTGAAAAGAAATACTAATATAACTCATTACGATAATCACAACTAAATAAAGTAGATTGAAAACAGTTTTTTGCTTCTAATTATTTGAGATGAAGACCACGAAAACCAAAAAATAAGTAAGTCAAAACTGTTTTYATTGGTGCACGTTTTCTATTTTTGGTACTTTTCCCATTACGGAATACCTCACTAGAATTAGCTTTTAACTCTTTAGTTCATCAAAAGGTTTTAGTTTTCAAACGTTTCATTGTATTGACTGAGTCAATCCTAGATATGTCAGGCATTTGGCGAACAGTGAAGACGGGATAGCCATGTTGGTACAGTATGACAGCTAACAACAATCTTGACAAAGGTCAATGTAGCACGTGTTTGTTTAGGATTATATGTTCCCTTTTGTCAAATTAATTTACTAAATACCAAGTCCGTCGATTGAAGGCTACCTAATCTAAAAACAATCCTATTTTGCTACATATTAACTAGTAAATTATCTGGATATTTAAAAACAGTAGGAACTATCGACGAAAAAAAAAATCACTAATTTTTTCAGATTCATCAGTTGCACTGTTAGGGAACTCACTACACATTTTTTTAAATGCAAATTTTTCTCTAACCCACAATGTTCCGCCGTCGAACGAACAAAAGGGTTCATTTTTGATGCCGGCTGGAATCGGTTGCATTAAGTTTAGATTATTAATCCTTTTGTGGTCGAACTGCAGTTAAGCAAAGAACTCTGGGCAAACCCAACATCAAATCCGTTCCTACCCTTATTATCTGTTATGATTTTCAGTAATTTATTTTGCACGTGTAACATCCTTTTCCCAACCCGCAAATTTCTTGCAGCATGTGTGTGTTTGCTCAATATTTCTTTTCTGAAAGGAGAGGTTGCGAGATATTTTTTTCGTTGTTGCTCGCTCGATATTTTTTGGGGGGATTTACGTGTGCAACACCCCTCAACTATCTTATGTTCTCTCCCTAACCACGAGGTGGTGACCCAAATCACACAGTAGTAATATAGCAATATAGCAATATATAGAGAGAAAATTAATACCGAGTCGAAACCAAGTGGAGTTAAAGTTCTTGTCAGTAAACCGTTCCTTTTCTAAAAAAAGATATAGCATAATTGATTATAATATGCTTTAAAAAAATAGAAAAACTTATCTTGAAACAATGGGGTTCGAACCAACCGAAAAAAATTTGGAAAAAAAAAAATCGATTCAACTTTGCCATACCCCCGAGACATCCGCAGAGCTGAGGCGTCGTATGGACTTCGGACCTGACGGCGATTAAATCCTTCTGCCYTTGGGTGTACGAATTACGCAAGAAAATGTTCTAGCCGAAGCATCAGGGGAGAGACCAGCCGGCCCCCAGACCATATCGGCTAATCCCTTGCATCTCTGCCACGCACGGAATCGGTTGAAAAACTRATGTCAAAAAGTCTAGTCTATCTGGTGCATTGTTTTCACGGCTATTGTTATGCTGATTCACTTAGAACCGTGGTCCAGTGGAAAAAACTTGGGCTTCAAGACACTGAGGTCAAGTCCGGTTGGGCGAAGTTAGTACCTGGATGGGTGAACTGAAGCTTATGCTTACTTAACTTTTTTGTAAGCTTTGTCTCGTAACTTTCAGTCAAATTAAAAATTGCCGGGCATTTAATCCGTACCTGGCAGTCTGTAATGATGAGCGTTTTCCCCCCTAAGTACCACGAAGAGAGTCGTTCGTATTCTGTTGCCGAGGAAAAACAAACGAGACTTGTTTTAGTCCCAGTCGCCAGCAACTCGTTTCTTCATATTTGCAGCAATTAACCTAGCTTGTTTCAGCAACTCGTCCAACATGCAGCAACTCTTTTTCTATTTGTTGCAAAATACTTGCTGCATCTCTCTTATTAGCCATGATGTATACGTCGTTTTTCTTGTTTTGATTTTTTTCCTTGCTTTTTCTTTCTTCCTTGTTTTTCTTTTTTTCTTTCTTTCTTTTTTAAAGTAAGCTGTGCACGTTTTTTTAAAGGGGCCGCGGAGCACCCTAAAAAGGGGGGGCTTATAAATTAGTTTCGAAAATATATGAGACTAGTATTAGAAAAATGGGGAGCTGTACCAYCCCCTCCGCGGCCGCTATTGTACCTTTACCAGATAAAGTGCTGACCACTGCTTCATTCTCCATGCAGGTAGCTGTCAATATCTGGTGTAGCCTGACGTATGTTGGAGACATCGACGTTATCAACCAACAGTTTGCTTGTGAGTTTTGGATGACGGCCACGTGGAAGGCGGAACCAAAACTTCAAGGAAAGAAAAATGAGGTTAGTTGCTTTGTTAATACCTTCTTCRTGGGTTTTATTGTGCGTCCTGAGGGACTGTTAAATTTCGTAGGGGTGGGTCGATCAGGGTAGAAAAGGGGAAGGAAAAGGCTAGAGGACCTGGCGAAGAAATGCAGGTGGAAAAATATGTCTGGGTCCAGTTGTATGAATGGTGACTGCGTCTAAGTGTGGAATTCACTTCCAAACAAGATTAAAAACAGTGACACTCTAAGTATTTTAAAATCTCAATTATCTCAGTAATCCATGGTTTTTGTTTATATATATATATATATATATGATACAATAAAATTAATATTATATTCATATTTATATTTATTAAAGCATTGAAATTGTGTATAATGCTTAATAGATCATTATTATTTAGTGGTGGATAGCGCCATCTGACGGATAAATTCTTATCCAGTGGACAAAGCGATCCACCCTATCGTACAACCGAAACTTGTTGTCTAAATGCATCTTCAATATCTTCCAACAGGAGGTGGACTGGGATCAAGAATGGGATCCAAAGATCACGTTTACCAATGCCACAGCAATCGACCGCATGCAGAAAGGACAGCGGTTATATACCTCGGAGGAAGGCGGGAAGGAAATGACGTATGCACAAGAAATGTACAAAGTCCGAGGGACATTCAAAGGGCAAGTGGACCTTGCTGATTTCCCGTTAGATTTCCAGGTACTGTTCTAATCTTTGACCTCTCTTAAGGCGCGAGACGGCATGCCAAAAACACCTTGGATAGAGATAGAGATAGAGCATTATTTTGACATTTGCTTGTTCCAGGAACTGCCAATCATCTTATCATCCGACTGGACAGACAGACACGTCAAGTTTCAAAAAGACATGCTCAAAGGAGACGTCATTCGTCACCTGGGCTTCTCCGCCCCTCAGGAGTGGTCGCTTTGTTCTCACGTGCACACTGACGTTACGAGTATTGTCCTTGAATGTCCTGGGGCGAGTGATCGTCATTATCCTATGTATATTATTACAGCTCACGTACAAAGGAAAATTGGTTACTATATTTGGAATGTTGTTCTATTTATGGTAAGTTATGAAAAAAGAACTAATCTATGGTAGCTAGCTAGTGAAAAAACGTTTGGCAAATCGAGGTCCCTTTTTTATGGTCTGTACTCTTATCGAACAAGGAATGGCATCAGTATCTGATCCAAACTCAAGCGGGCGAGTGGTATTACTGCAAAGTTTGGAGAAGAGTACATACCATAGAAAAGGACCTCGGTTCGTTTTTAACACACAAAGCAATTACTAACAGGAATTTTATAAACGTTTTTTACTTTCAAATACTCTAGCGTACGGATGTCGTCAGCAAAGTTAGTACGTTTAGCCTTTTTTTGACAATGGCTCTCAGCCAATCAGTGCGCGAGAAATTAGAAATTTGGGGTAAAAATCAATATACGGAATAATTTTCATATGTATTTGTTTTTAGCGGTATATTTTGTACATTTGTGACACGGCTCACGGTACGGCCTGTCACGGTACGGCATTGACGACAACCTTTAACCAATCACAAAGCGCGTGATTATTGCTTATCCCACCAAAATACATCGGCACGGTCACGCCACGTTCGTGCCATCTGACCTAATGCAAAACGATTGACTTTTTACTTACTCAGAATATTCCCTTTGTATCTGTCTAGTTCGTCATTACTGGTCTTTCATTTGCGTCATTTGCGGTGTCTCCTGATCATCTTGCTGATCAACTGACTGTTACCTTGACGATACTGCTGACCGGTGTGGCATTCAAGTTTGCAGTCTCAAAGAATCTGCCGTCGGTATCGTACGCGACATTACTGGTAAAGTATTTGAGATATTAAACAAACTAAGACTAGTAAGGTGAAACGTCGAAATTCACATGAACCAAACCTAATGAAATATACTTGAAGAAAACGACCTTATAATTCATTGTTTTAAATGCGAACCGGGCTCGCGTGAAGTTCGACGTTCGAAGTAGCACAACGAGGTAGCCCTCGCACAAAAAAATTGAAATTGAGACCCTCAACACTCAACATCGAATCGGACTCTTTACGAGCCAAAGTCTTTGCATAAACACTCTCTCTTGGGACTTTATAATATTTTATGTGAACCTTTTTCTAAATAATGTCTTTGCTTTGATAATGATGTCTTGCATGACATCGAAACGTCAGCGCCGTTTTACATCACTTGTTTTCACCGTTAAATTAAAAGTTGAAAGCATAGAAAACTAACATGTGAAGTAACCCTGAAACCTTAAGAAGTGTACGAACGAACGAACGAACGAACGAACGACGGCTGTCGTATCAGTAAAAAGGTCTGTCCTTAGGGTGACCCTCCCATCTTCCCCCCTCTTCAAGGACCACGGAGGACCTTTGGGGGGGAAGGGACAGGTTTAGTGGATATTACAGCTATATGAATGTAAAGGTATGGCCATGTTCACGTTCATGTCACCTTCGACCGGTAGTCTAGTGATGAAGCAAAAACACATTTTTCTTCATGCTGTACGCCCACTCAGTTTCCTTCGAATTTTTTGAAAGAAAAGATTTGAGCTAAATCACTTGACATCTACGTTTCCTCTCTCTTTACTTCCTTTTCATTGATAATCAGTTTGTCATTCCTTCAAAAGTAGAATAATCTGAAAAATTAATCCCGTGTTATCTTTTGCTGCCGGACAGAGCGAAAATAAACTTATGCAGTCTTTAAAGGCATAGAAAGTCTTGCGATAAAAATGTATTCTTAGTTGAAGTAGAGTTTACAAATTTTGCTGAAAAGTTAAAAATTCATCCAATTTCATTTGATGCCCAACTAAAGTATAGTTGGATTTTTTAAGTCCATTTTCCCGTGTTTTCTTGTTTGGCAGCTGTTTTTTTGCCCATATCACGTTTGATTCTAACTTCATTTGACTGTACGTAATCGCTGATGATAAGGTTTACTGAATCGAAGTCTATCGTAATTCCGCCATGTTAATTTTCTAGATTGATTATCCCCAGTAAAGTCAGGATAAGATGCGCACAGTTGATTAAAGTAAACTTTAATCTTCTTAAGCCTCTGGCCAAGAAGACTCGACTTTTTCAAAACTCAAAATTTTGTATGGAAACATGAATTGGTAGGCAAAAATTAATTACAATATTCACTCTTGAAAAAGGCATATTTTTGCCAGTTTTAAACGCCCATTTCCTTGAAACTCACAGCTGTTTGTTTAATTAACACGCTTTCCAGCTATGCCCATTAGTTTTACTTCTGTTTCAATTTACTAATTAAAAAATACCCTGGTCAGTAAAAGCTCATTCAAAATATAACTACAACTTTTTCTTTCCCTTGCTTTTAGAAAACCTATTATTGATGCATTCTATTCAAAATGTTTTGTTTCGATGTGGTTTGGTGTGATTTTTTGGTGTGCGATTCTCATCACAGGACTTTCCTGGGTTATTTGTTGTGTCCATTTAGCCGGGTCCATTAAGCATGGTGATCAGGGTCTCAGTTTTACTAAGGATACCATACAGTTCATTTCAAGATATCTGAATCTAGATTTCATCCACGACCAATAGAAAAACCAGCAAAATTTCGGCCTTGAAAGAGTACGGCTTTTCTCAGTTTAGCGACTTTACACCGGCTGAGAAATTTATAGAATTGTGAAAAAGGGAGCACTCATTCTCGCGACATAAAAACAACGACATAAACCACATGAAAAACAACAATCATGAACATTTTTCAAAACTTGTCCGACTTGGTTCCAGCAAATGCATCCATTACAGATAATATGAAGCTTTTCCAGTGTCCTATGAAGATTCCGTTGTCATCGTGGGACCCGTACGCCTTCAACGAAGTAGCCAAAGTCTCAACCATCCTTTCCATTACGGTCAACGTCATAACGATGCCATTCATTTTATTTTTTAATGCAGTGGTGATGTTTGTCGTTTGGAAGAATGAATCTCTTCAGGTTGAGCGAGTGATAGTCCTGGCTTACTTAGCCTTCACTGACTTTCTTGTTGGATTGATCTGTCAACC